AGTTCCATTGCAAATCTTGGAAGTTTAACCAAGTTGTATTTTCCAATAGGATTATTTATTAGTTTCCATTCACCTTCATCCTAAAAAAGTTAAAAAAATAAATTGCTTTATATTTCATCTACTACGAATATATCATGTAGTTATAAAACATTTACTTCCGTATTGGATAAACCACTTGCTTCTTCAACTAAGTTTACATGTGGTATAGGGGATTCATTTTCATCAACTAAATTATGAAATATTTTTTTTCGTTCTTTATCAAGTTTTTGAGTCTTTTTGACAGATAATCTATCAACGGAAGAAAGTTGATATGCACCTTTTGGACCAATTTTTTTTCTCTGATCACGAAGATAAGCTCTGTCTTCAAGAGGTACTTTATTACTTTGAGAGCAAAGGCATACAATATGTTCTTCAATGCAATTTTCTTTATTGCAAGAAACTTTTCTATCACTACAGGGAAACACATCTAATGAACAGGAACACGCAGAAATATCAAAGAGTTTGTCCAAGTTAGCATCAAGATTTCTTTTTGCGCTTGCTTTTCCGTGCTTGCGATTAATATCCTTAACAAGTACGAGAAGATCTTTTACTTTCCTATTAATAGATTTGTCAGTTATAAGAGGTAAACTTGGGTTTACTGAAGCCCAAATTGATTTTATATTATTGCTAATTTGCTGAGTCACTGATAAGATATCTGCATTTGGATTCACATGAATTAGATAGTAATAGTACTGAATAAAAGTGCTTGGATCTGTCATTGATAATTCACATGGGCCACCGCAATACTTTTTTTCACTTTTCATCCGTGTAATTGTAGTCGTAACTTTCGGCATTTTTGTATACTAATAATATATGTAAACTCTATTAAAGTATAGCACTTAGAGCCATGGGCCACGGCGTGACTTTTTAGTGGGGGAGGGGGAAAAACACCAAAAAAACCTAAAATATCAAAACTTACTACAAAAAATCTAGTTTTTAAAAAAAGGTCCATTTGAAAAAATCTGGGGGCCATAGCCCCTCAGCCCCCTTTTCCCCCCGTCGCCGTGGCCCATGAGAGTATAAGTTATTTATGAATTAAGTTAACATTAGTTCTTTCTGAAACTTTTATATTTTAAAAGGTGCAAAAAAAAAATTTTTGTAATATTAATCAGGTAAAAACATTACTGTAAATATATTAATCATAAGTATTTACCTTTGATATTTAACTATTTCTTTAGATTGTAGTTTTATATTTGAACCTTTTAAATACTTTACTTTTCAATACTTAAATACTAAAAAATTTAATTTTAAAACCAACATTTAACGATTAGCAAAATTGAAATTTAAAAGCGTGTAAACAATTTAGCGAAAATTTATTGGCTTCTTAAAACAATTGCGCTTTTTAAAATATCGTTAATTGGTTACTCTAAAAATTCGAAACGAGATACTTTAAAACGAGGTTACTAGACTTAAAATAAAATATTTCAATGTTTGAAATAAACAATCTAACAAAGCTAGTCCAATATTAAGTCTTGAAATGTAAATCCGCAAGCCATTTTTAAACCAGAACACCTGATATTTGGCAAAACCTTATTTCTAAGCTAGACACAGTAACTGCAACATTACGCAACTCGAAATTCAAAAAAAAAGCTAAAATCGACCTACCCTAATATACGTATATATATATATATATATATATATATATATATATATATATATATATATATATATATATTTATGTATATATATATATATATATATATATATATATATATATATATATATATATATATATATATATATATATATATATATATACGTATATATATATATATATATATATATATATATATATTATATATATATATATATATATATATATATATATATATATATATATATATATATATATATATATATACGTATATATATATATATATATATATATATATATATATATATATATATATATATATATTTATGTATATATATATATATATATATACGTATATATATATATATATATATATATATATATATATATATTTATATATATATATAAGGGAGATAATCTTTTTGCAATTTGATATATATATATATATATATATATATATATATATATATATATATTATATATATATATAAGGGAGATAATCTTTTTGCAATTTGATATATATATATATATATATATATATATATATATATATATATATATATATATATATATATATATATATATATATATATAAGGGAGATAATCTTTTTGCAATTTGATATATATATATATATATATATATTATACACGTATATATATATATATATATATATATTATATATATATATATATATATTATATATATATATATATATATATATATATATATATATATATATATATATATATATATATATATGTATATATATATATATATATATGTATATATATATAAGGGAGATAATCTTTTTGCAATTTGATATATATATATATATTATATATATATATATATATATATATATATATATATATATATATATATATATATATATATATATAAGGGAGATAATCTTGTTGCAATTTGATATATATATATATATATATATATATATATATATATATATATATGTATATATATATATATATATATATATATATATATGTATATATATATATATATATATATATATATATATATATATATATATATATATATATATATATATATATATATATATATATATATTATATAAGGGAGATAATCTTGTTGCAATTTGATATATATATATATATATATATATATATATATATAATATTATATATAATAAGTCCAAACAGCATTCCCACAAACATTTTTATGGATTTTAATGATAAGTTTTCAAATACTTTTTGAAATATTTGAAAATATTTGAATATTTCTTAACTATTTAATACCTCATTTATAAATGAAACATTTCCTGATATTTTGAGATTATCTTGCATTGTTCCATTTATTTAAAAATGGCTCTAAACTTTCGTGCACAAACTATAGACCTATTTCTCTTTTATCTAACATAAATAAGCTTCTTGAAAAACTTATGTATTCTAGAGTGTACTCTTTTTTAAACTCATTTAATTGTTTGAATGATTTTCAATTTGGTTAATTTTTAGCCTTAATAGGTTTAACAGTAAAAATCAGAAAATTATTTGATACTGGTCATTTTGTTTGTGGTGTTTTTATCGATTTACAAAAAGCTTTCGATACCATTGACCACAATATTTTGATTTTTAAATTAGAACTTTATTGAATATGAGCGTGTTGTATATGACTGCTTTTGTATATGATCTTTAGATCGACTGTATATGATCTTTAGATCGTATACAGTCGATCTAAAGATCATATACAGTGTATATGAGCGTGTTGTATATGACTGTATATGATCTTTAGATCGAAAAACAATTTTTAAGTGTTAGCGATTTTACTTCTAGTAATTTTTGTGTGGTGTTCCTCAAGGTATTGTTCTTGGTCATTTTTGATCTTACTTTTTAATCTATGTTAACAACCTAACCAACTCTGCTCACTTCTTGTCAGTTCATCTGTTTGCTTATAATGAACAAATCGTATTATTCGTTATGTAAAAATGTAAATTCGAATCTAAAAGGTATAGTTCACTTGTTAAATGCTAACCTGATATGTCTTAACACCGAAAAAACTAAACTTTTTTTGTATCTTCGATAAAAAACTATTTCTTTAAAAATTAAAATTAAAATTGATAATAAATGGCTATATCCTTTAAGAGTTATTAAAAATCTTGGTGTGTTAATTGACTGCAATCTTTCATGGAACTTTCACATTGATGAACTCAGCAAGAAACTAAATCTTGAGCTAACAGTATGCTTTTAATAATTTGTCATTGTGTCAATGAAGTTACACTAAGGAATATTTACTATTCATTATTCTCATCTCATTTTAGCTATTGTTGCCAAGTTGGAAACTATTGCAAAAACAAGTTGCTATCGTCTCAGCCTCAATCCAATAAAATAATAAAATTTCAACCAATTAAATCAGATATATCGGAGTCTTTCAAAAAACTTAACATATCAACATTTGCAGCGTTAGTAAAGTATGCTAATCTCCTTTTTGACTCTTTAAATAAAAATTTACTATCTTCCATTTCTACTCTAGAAATATATTCAATGGAAAACTAAATAATAAAAACTTACCTTTTGAAGCATCTTTTAAAAGCCAAAAATATGGTAAACATTCTATTGTTTCTCAGTGTGTCTGTGAATGCAAGAGTCTTGTATGCGTTATGAATGAGTTCAAAATACTACATCTTAAAATATCTTTTCTCCATCTCAAACAAAATCAATTTCAAAAATTTCTGTAAAATATTTTATTCTTACTTTTAGACATTATTATCCTTACTATTTAAATATTCTTTCAATTTTCTTTTCGCTATTACTACAATATATGTAGTTTATAATAACAATAATATTAATTATAAAAAAAAAAAAATAAACAAACAAAAGTACTGATGATAATTATTATCATCAGTACTTTTGTTTTTTGTTTTTTTTATTAGTATTATTGTTATTATAAACTACAATTATTGTTATTATAACGAAAATTATGATTTCTATATGTTTTGTTTTATTGTATCTTTTATGTGTTTTAATTTTTATTTGCATGTTGTATGTGTTTTTATTACTTATATTACATTTGAAAATTGGTGTTACTCCTTTGATCAGATTTCTGTATGAGTGAAATCCATCCTGATGTGCACACCATCCTGATGTGCACACCATCCTGATGTGCACACCATCCTGATGTGCACACCATCCTGATGTGCACACCATCCTAATAAATCTTATTAATAAAACTTATTATTATAAATCATTCTATGCTTTTAATATATTAATATATCTTAAATCTTAATATATTTTAAAAAGTTAATTTTATTGTACTCTACTTATTTTTTAACTTGATCTCGCCCGAGATGTTAGATTTAAGAAATAAACCTTTTATATCGTTTTTTAATCATAGATTAGTAAACCCGTTATTCTTGATGAAGATACAGAGTCATGTTGTACTGATGCAAATCAATATTTTGATCTTTTTGCACAAATTAATTCTCATCAGAGAATTAGGAGTCGCCACGCTTTTTGTAAAGTTTGCCCTGAAAATTCGACGCCTAAGTTCTTTGGTTATTTCTGTCAAAAATGCCCACAGGGTTTCAAAGAAACAAATGAGTGGTTTGGTTGCGAACAAAACACCGATACTACGCTTACAAAATCATCAAAAGGAAAGAAAATTCGAAAACATCGAAAAAAAGGAAATCCAAAAATATCGAAGAGTAAAACCAACAAAAATTAAACAATTTATTTAAAAACACAAAAGAGTTTTCTTTTCTTTTTTTTTTTTTATTTCTTTATAAAACTTTGTGTTAAAAAAATATTTGTTTTATTTTGACAAAGAAATTTTTATTAAAGACATAAAGTTATCTTTAATATAAGAATGTATTTTCATTTGTGGTAATATACATATACAAATTTTTCGTGTTTTTACGTTTAAAACATTTTTTGCGATGGATCAGTTTGTGAATAAAAAATTATCTTTAATTATTATTAAACTTTCAGAAGTCTTTATGCGCATTTCCTTCATTTTTCGGGGAAATACTTAAAAATTAATTTTTTAACTTCCAATTGTTTTTTTTTTTTTTTTTTTTTTTAATAGTCAATACTTAACCATTTTTCACAATTTTTAGCGATTTCACATTTTCTCGTTTGTTTTTTTTCTCGAACTTTAGAGATGACTATGAACCGAGATTTTTTGCTTTAAAAGTGTTTATACCGTAAGTCAGTTAAAACAAAATTTTACAAAAAAATAAATTGACTATTTATTTATAAACTTTTAATATTAAAATTATTATAATAACAAAAATCAAATAACGCGCATGCAATTAAGACGAATGACACGTGTGTAAGCATTTAAATAAACATGCACACAAATAAAAATATAAATTTAAAACAAACAATAAAATAATTCAGAGTACAAAATATATACAAACACGTACAAAAAGGGTAACGGTTGAGTAACGGTTGGTGGGTAACAAGTGATAATTGATGTATTCCTATACTTAAAGAAATTTCACCTGACAAGTTTTTAATGTGCTTTTTCCATGTCAAATTTTTATCAAAAGCAGCAGCTTAAAAATATACTATCATTAGCAGCTAAAAAAATTTATAATTAACAGCTAATTTTTATTATTATATTAATTTTTACTAAAAAATTTTTATCATTAGCAGTTAAAAATATTTCTAAGCAGCTAAAAAATATACTATCATTACGCCATATTATTACATTATATCATTAACAGAATTTTAATAATTGATAAATTTTTTTTATTATATATAACTGTATATAATTGATGCTTCTTGATAGTTAAACAAGTTTTTATAGTGATGATAAAAGTTGATTTCGGGCCATCCATTTTAGAACTTTTTTTAAAAAACTTTGCATATTACAAATTTTACAACTTTGCATATTAAAAATATTACAACTTTGCAAATTACAAATTTTTGAAAAAATGTGAGGGTAGTTGGCTTTAACCCTTTTAAATTTAATCTTATCTATGAAAAAATATCAATTCACATGGTAATAGATATTTTTTAAAGTATGAATGAATAAGAGACCATTCATAGTATGTATGTAGTAATGCATGGTGGTATGTACGTAGAACGTATGAGTAAATACAAGATAACCAGTTAGTATTTTCAAGTGGATTCGTATGACGTAAGGTACATATTGATGAGGTATTTAGTCAAAAAAGGTGTTGTTATACTTTGATTCATTATTTTTTAAGGATATGATTAAGTCGGGTTTTTATAAAAAAAAAAGAAAAAAAAAAAAAGCATGAAAACCTAATGGTAAGATTTGCAAATAACATCGCGCAATAGAGGCAAAATAAAATCAACTGTAACTGAATATTATTTTATGAATTTATAAATTGAAATAATTAAGATATCAACTGATAGTATATGGAAATATGATGAAACCAATAATAATGATAATGCTGGTAAAAGAAAAAAAAAATAACAAAACGTCGATATCTTGAGTGTTTTATTATTTTCCCAAAGACCTTACTCTCAGTGATGTTTTTTTGGTCACTGATGACTGCAAAAAGAATTTGTTACCATTATATATTGTTGACAAGCGAAACCGTTATGGAACATAATGATGGAACATGACCCACTAAAAGAAAGTTATAACAGATAAAAAATCATACTTAAAAGTGATAGATGTGATAAAAAGAGTCAGTCATGGTTTGAAGACTTTTATTTTTTTGTATTGTGGTTTATCTTCCTCCGTCTAATTCTTATAGAGGCCACATATCACAAGGCCCGCAAAGATAAGTTTAGCTCATTATCATAGCCCGCTTCGTGAGTTTTGGGATGAACGAAAAATAAATATAGAGTGAAACTTAGAACTAGTCGAGTTTGAAAGATAGCACAGACATTGTAATAGATGTTAAGGTATGCAATATAAAGTATTATAAAGCCTCTTAATGACTTTTTTTAATACTACCTAAAACTGTTTTTTTCTTTACTTTTTCTAAGACTTAAACAAATTTAAAGGAAGTTATGCCATCATTAGAGATAACTTCTATTATTTTACTATTGGGGATAACTTATCTGCACGATTGAACGTTGAACACGTTGAACACGAAAACAATCAACGTTGTAGTAATTAGAATAGCAATAACAAAGCATTTGTGACATTATCAACAAATTCTACGCATCTTATTCAGCCAGTCAAAAAAAGCGAGACTAAGTTTTAGTTAATAGAATTAAGTATGATAGCTCCCTTGAGCAACAGCCTTCATAGTATTTGTAGAAAAGAGAAAGAGGTGCAACTTTACGGCAACGGGAGAGATGATCAATCTTGGAAGATAAGTTCCAACTACGTTTACAATGCGTTCCAACTACGTTTACAATGCATTTTTGGACCTTGTCTAAAAAAGCAAGACGATTAATAGAAGAATAAGAGATATGTAGTGGTAGAGAATGGAATCAGGAGTAACATAATGACGAACACGATAAAGAGAAGCAACCTTAGTAGGTACTAACTTGCAATTGATTGAATATATTGGAAAGTCGAATAGCCCCGGTTGGTGGGTAACTACTAATAATTGATGCACAGCTTAAACTAAAGAAACTATGTGACTCTAAATACTATTTAAACATTATTTGAGTGAAAATATGGCATATGCAAAACGTCTATCGTATTATACCGAAACGATTTGCTGGGAGTGCAATATAATGTTTTCCACCTCTAGAAGAGCGATGTATTCACACATTTGATTTACATGTTAATATATCTAATTTTTATGTAAATTATTACTTTTTATTAATTAAAGATACATTCTTATTTACAATATTTATTAAATGATAGTATTTTTATTAAAAAATAGTAAATAAAAAATATTTGAAATGTCCATAGATCACTAGTGGAATTAAAAAATCCTCTAAAACAAAACAAAAACACTACATCAAATATTTAAAAAACAGATATGAATTTAACTTATCTATTTACAAGCAATACAAAAATCTTTTTGAAAAAATATAAAAAAAGTTTTAAAAAATATACTATTCAAAACTACTTCAAAATACCAATGGTGATATTAAAAAATCATGGCACATCATAAAAGAAATAATCGTGAAGGAAAATACCAAAGCAAATACCTTACCTGATAGAATTATTGTGAATGAAACAGAATTCAACGATAAAAGTTCGATTGCCGAACATTTCATTAGTTTCTTTGCAAACATCGGCCCTAACATGGCGTCCAAAATTCAATGCCCAAATACCTATTTTGAAACCTATCTGACAGATCTACATAGTGAACTAAAGTTAAATGGTCTAAGTTATGATGAACTCGATGATGTAAAAAATCTGAAAATTAACAAAGCACCAGGGATCGATGAGATTTGTAGCAACGTAGTAATAAGTGTTTTCCTGGTGATATGTAAACCCATATTCGAAATTTTTAATTCTTCAATTACAACAGGAACTATTCCAAACAAATTTAAAATTGCAAAAGTCGTACCAATATTTAAAACCGGAGAGCTATTTTCACTTAATAACTACAGACCCATCTCAATCCTACCAGTCTTTTCTAAACTTCTAGAACGAATAGTTTACAATAAACTACATAAATACTTAACTAGTAACAATATCTTGAACAAAAAACAATTCGGATTTCAAAAGCAACATTCAACAGAACATGCAATATAAAATCTTGTAAATAAAATAAATGGCTCTTTTGATAATAACAAATTTGTTCTAGGAATCTTTATTTAGCTGTCAAAAGCATTCGATACTGTTGATCATGCTATATTACATTATATATGTAATATAGCATGATAATGAAATATGTCATTAAAAATGTTACTTTACAATGGTTTGAGAACTTTTTTATAAACAGATAGCAATCTGTTATTACAGATAAAATGATCCATTCAAAATCGCTTAAAATTGAATACGGAGTTCCCCAAAGTTTCATTCTAGCTCCCTTACTCTTCTTGCTATACAGCAATGATCTTCAAAAGTCTCAAACAAACTCGATGCCATAATGTTTGCAAATGATACTAATTTATTTTATTTATCTACCTCTATCACAGAACTCTTTGAAACTGCAAGTACTAAACTTAAAAACCTTTATACTTGTTTTAAATCTAACAAATTATCATTGATACAGAAAAAACAAACTACATTCTATTCCATTCCAATCAAAGAAAAAAATCTTTGCCAAATATATTACCATTTCTAAAAATAGAAAATAAAATTATCATAAGAACCAAAGCAACAAAATTTTTAAGGTTATCGATGAGAATATTTTATGGAAATCCCATATAAACTTTTTAAATACTAAAATAAGAAACAAGATTTGTATGCTTTATAAAGCTAGACCGATATTACCCCAAAAAAATTTAAAGCAAGTTTATTTCGCTTTTATTCAAACCTATTAAACGTATGGTAATATAGCGTGGGCAAGTAACTATAGATCCAACCTAGTGGCACTCTACCAACATCAAAAACATGCTGCAGGAATAGTATTTAATAAAGATAAGTGTACTCATACTGAACCTTTGCTAAAACATCTTAATGGTCTAAACGTCTATAAAATTAACATCTATCAAAATTTATTGTTCATACTTAAATTTAAACTTGAACTTCTTCCATCACATTTCATTTCAATGTATTTTTTTAAATGCAATAGAAATAGATATAATACTCGAGGAACAGGAAATTGTACCAAATAAAAAAAAAAAAAACTAACGCGTTTCTCTATTTCGTATCGCGGCCCTTACCTCTAACAAACTAATTATTGAAAATACTATAATTACAAAATTACATTACTTAAATTCTCTGAAAATACTATTAAAAAGACTTGTTCTTGACTTAAACAATTTTACGAACTTATATTAAAATTAATAATTAAAACAAAAAACAAAAAAAACCTAAGAATTAGCTTAAAAGCAAAGTGTATATTAGATTTTATTTATATTTCGTAAATATCTGTCAATATATTAAGTATAACAAGCCATGTAATTATATATTTATGTGTATCAAATACAGCTCGCTTCTCTATTTGATTATCTAATTTTTTGCCCGTCAAAAAATTTTGTAAGGACAAAAACAAGTAATAATCAGAGGGTGCTATGTCCGGAGAATATGGTCGGTGTGACAAAATTTCCCAGCTTAATTCTGCAATTTTTTGACGAGTCCCTAAAACAGCGTGTGGTCTGGCGTTATCGTGATGCAGTATGATGTCCTTCCTATTGAACATTGCCGGCCTATTTTTTGGACTGCTGTCTTTAAATTATCCAGTTGCTGGCAATACTTCTCCGAATAAAGCTTTTCGTTTGGTTTTAAAATTTTATAATGTATTGGTCCTCGAATGTTCCACCATATACACAACATTCTCTTATTCAGAGTCAAATTTGGTTTAGAGGTGGAAAGGCTAGGTTTTCCGGGTTCGCAATATGCCCTTTTCCTTACAATGTTGTTGTATGTAATCCACTTTTCATCCCCAGTTATCACCCGGTTCAAAAAGGGCTGGATTTTGTTCCAAGCAAGCAGAGATGTGCATATGACAACTCGATCGTCCAAATTTTTCTGACTTAGTTCATGTGGCACCCATCTTGAATACTTCCACACTAATCCCAACTTCCGAATATGGTCAGAAATGGTTTGCTGATCTGAATTGAGCCTTTCTACTATCTCCGATGTTGTCAAAAAAAGATCTTGCTCCAACATTGCCTTAACAACATCGTCGTCGATCAAAGATGGTCGCCCAGAACGTGGCTTATCAGAAAGGTCGAAATCACCTGTTTTAAATTTTTCGTACCATCTTCTACATGTCCTATCAGAAACTGTACCTTCACCAAACACTTTCAATAAATTTTTACATGCTTCTGTAGCATTTCTTCCTTGTTGAAATTTGTATAAAATACAGTGGCGTAAATGAACTTTACCAGTCGCCATGGATATACTATCGTTTCACACTTAAGACTAATGTGAATCAACTTTATTATAGTTTATTTGCTAGGTCAGTACGTATACATTAAGCGATAAAAATATAGATCCGAACATGCAATAAATAAACATTACGTGGCGAAAATGATGTCATAAATTCGGACAGAACTTTCCGGTAGACCTAATATATATATATATGTGTGTGTGTGTGTGTATATATATATATATATATATATATATATATATATATATATATATATATATATATATATATATATATATATATGTATGTATGTATGTATGTATGTATGTATGTATGTATGTATGTATGTATGTATGTATGTATGTATGTATGTTTGTATATATGTATGAATAAGTCTTCTACAATTTATTAAAACAAATCTTAAAATCTTCAGTGAGCAAGCAATCAGAGCTCTACATTAAAAATTTAAGGATCACTGGGAATGACAAAAGAGACCAATTAAATGCAGATTATTCAAATTATTCAAATGCAGATTATTCAAAAAAAGTGATGATTGCAAAAGCACTATATTTTGTCACGAAATTATCAAAATTCAAATCAATATAATTCAAAAAAAGAAATTGATAAAGAATGGAAAATGTGAACAATTCTCTCATAAAATATTAATACATTAACAAAAATAACAAAAAGCATTTTATTTACATTGTGTAAATTTTCTTTACATAAATCAAAAAAAGTATGTTTTTAGGCGTACCTAAAAAGTTGAAATTAGGTTGTTAAAAAAAAAGTACCGAAACAGGTGAAATCAGATGCTAATCAAATATGATGAAACTATTGAAGGAGCATTTGGCTGAAAAAAACCTTCAAATTTTGATCCAGGACATGTTTAAACACCTACTAGCATGCGTAATTAAGCCTCAAAACAACATTTTTACGACGTAACATTGACATTAGAATCCTAAAGTTTTACGCATATAGCGTAAAATCGGCAAAATTCAGTGGGACTCAAACGCGCTATAGTCTAAACATAGAAGTCAGTGTTTAAGTTACGCGAAAATTTTAACTATCACTATCATTAAAGGTTTTAAAGTTATCTCCTTAAAAAGCTTTACGAAATATAAGTGCGATTACCGAATGGATTTTATTTTTTTGCTAATATTGATATCTAGCTTCATTATGTTTAGGCGGATTATAAAAATAACATTAAAATAAAATTAAAAATATTAAAATATTTTCAAAAAATTTTTAAAAAATAGTTTTTAAATATAAATTAATTTCTTTCAATATTAACAAATATAAAAATAACAAATCTTCATAACGCATATCTCTTATTGATATTTAACTATTGATTCACGCTGAACATTAATTCTTAAAATGCTGTCAATTTTTATAAATACTAGATGTCATTCACTTTATACCAACTTTTACTACTTTAATTTTAAATTGCACTCGTAAAAAAAGTTTAAAAAAATCTTGCCGTTTTATTACTTTTATATAAAATATTATATATATATATATATATATATATATATATATATATATATATATATATATATATATATATATATATATATATATATATATATATATATATAAATGTTATATATATATATATATATATATATATATATATATATATATATATATATATATATATATATATATATATATATATATATATAACAATATATAAATGTTATATAAATATGTATATATATATATATATATAACAATATATAAATGCTATATAAATATATATATATATATATATATATATATATATATATATATATATATATATATATATATATATATATATATATATATATATATATATATATATATATATATATATATATATATATATATATATATATATATATAAATTAAATAACTGATGTCCCGATCGATGTAAATGTTTTCAGGTTTTTAGGTCTGTACTTAGGCATGTGATGTCTTTTGTCTTGATCTGATAAACCTTTACATATATTTTCTACAAAAGAGCCTTTTAAAACATTTTTATCAAACTCTTCGACAAAATTACCAGCTGGTCGGTATCTTGATACAATATACTGACAAGTGACGCCACCCTTAGTCGATTGTGCTCGTCCTACACCCAAAAACTTTGTGTCTGCCCAAACAACTTGAGTGAAATGAGACGAAGATTGGTCAAAGACTCCATTAAACTTGTAAATTGGATTACACACTTCTTGATACCTAAATTTGTATTATGATTGCTAAATATTTTAAGTTTAATAGTAAGATAATATAGTAAAAATATAGCAAAAGTATTAATAATAAAATATTAAAAAAAAGTACTGTTACAGTTAGCTAGTATATTAATTTAACATTGCTGTTACAGTTAGCGAGTATACTAATTAGTAGGATTAGCTCATGACATACCATAACGTAGTAAAGAATACACCGTTAGGTTCAACCTCTTGTGGTCCTAAACACTTCATAGCTAAGTTTTCTCCGTCGTTAATATTAAGTTCATGTTGAAGAGTCCCTCTTTTGGCAATTGTTTCTGCATAACTTTGCGCGTCAGCCGCTAATTTATCATCTATGACAAGAGGCTGGGCATGGTGTATCGCACGATATTTATTGTGTGCATCTAACATTTCTGATATAAATTCTGTATCATCTAAAAAAAAAATTTTATATTTGCGTACTTCATATCTACTTTAAAATTTTACACTTACTCGTAAAGAACTTTTTTTGTTGTTGCTTTAATTAACTTCCCGCTATCTTAGGTCAGAAATGAATTACAAATTTTATACGGATTAATTTTTGAACGTTAAGAGATTGATCTATGAAATTTAAAAGTTATCGATGAAAATAAATTAATTTTAGAAAAGTAAAAAGTATATTTTGTCAGCTTGTTGCTTGTAATAAGGTAATAAAAATGTTACAAAAAATCATTGCAAAAAAAATTAGAACTTATCGATAAGATAAATTAGCAATTTAGATGTTGAAGAACGCCTGGTAAGAGTTATGGTTGTTATATTTATGGAGCTATTTTATAGAAATTTTTATGCTTGATTGCAGAGAAAATAAAGAACTGATAGAATTTCAGTGAATAATGGAGGCTTGAGATTAACATAAGACAAAAGTTATGTGTTGTCAAGAAGAAGCAAGCACAGAGAAAAAAAAAATGATGATTGAACCAGCTCAGAAATAGATCTTTATCAACTAATACAAAATTAAAGCTACAACTGAAGAAATAAAATTCTAGTCTAGATAAAATAAAAAAATATTTATACTAACTGAAAATACTGTCATAAACAAAACAAAAGTTTATTTTAAACGTAGAAAGATTTTCATAAAACAGTTCAAAGAGATTATTAAAGTTTGAAACAAAACTAGAATCATTTTCTTTAGTCAAGCAAACTCATCAAAACTCAATTCAATCTATTTTTTACAAATATTTGTTGTCTTCAAAGTAACCTTTTATTACCTTCACACTTAAATGTTCTTTGTGAGACTTATTTAAATTTCCATCCTCGGATCTTAGTATTGATGCCAATCGTTCCTTGACTTGCAAAGGTTCCAACAGTCATATGCTTTTTCTAGGCATTTACTTGCATATTAATTCATCCGTTTGCCCTGAAATAGGGTTTGAAATTTCTAACTATTCATTTATGAGTTTTTCTAATGTACCTTTTCATTCAACCACCTTTGGTTTTGTTTTTTTACTGTTCTCCTTCTTTCAAAGACTGTACATATATCAATGTTATTTTAGAATAGATAATTAAGCCCATTCTCATTCGAGCTTATTTATCTTATCCGTCAGATATATTGTTATTATGGGTGAATGCTCACGACAAGGAATGGCTTAGCTCATCTTAATAAAAGAAAGAACTATTTACAAAGATTATTACCTCAAATTTATCTTTTAAATTCATTGTATAAATCAAATGACTACTCACTAACATACCAGAGAAACCTTTCACCATTGACCTCATGAAATCATATATCTAACCCAATTGATTGCATGCTTTATTTAAAATTTAGTAATCTTTAGTCTTTAAATTTTAAATAAAGTTTTATTTACCATGTTTGCCATTTTTTTCATCCTGATTCCGTTCTTAACCTCTATAAATCTTATATTGGTCCTTACTTTCATTTATTGTTTAATCAACAAAAACACAGTCTCACATAACTTGCCATATATCAAAATTGCATTCCTGAAGATGGGGGATCACCATATATCCATTATTTAGCTAGAATCTTTTATAACAGTATAGCATTTTTTAGTTCTACTACTTCCAATCTTCAATGCTTTCTTTATTTGTTATGTCTTTATCATTCAGACACTCTCTCCCTAACATAAAGATTGTTTTTCAATGAGTCTTCAGAATAATCTTTTTCGATTTGTACTGAACGACATAACTATATTTAATCTGTTCTTATAATGCCTATGTGACTGGATGGTTCTATTGGTCACCAGTTTGCGTAGACATTACACTATTACAATTGTACACATTACACTATCACAACTGTACACATTACATTATCATAACTGTACACATTACACTATCACAACTGTACTCATTACACTATCACAACTGTACTCATTACACTAACACAACTGTACAAATCTATCACAACTGTACATATTTGTGTACACAATTATACTATCACAACAGTACTATCACAACTGTACTATACACAACTGTACTATCGCAACTGTACACATTTACACTATCACAACTGTACACATTACACTATCACAATTGTACACATTACACTATCACAACTGTACAAATCTATCACAACTGTACACATTTGTTTACACAATTATACTATCAAAACAATACTATCACAACTGTACTAAACACAACTGTACTATCGCAACTGTACACATTTACACTATCACAACTGTACACATTTCACTATCACTATTGTACATATTACACTGTCACAACTGTACACATTACACTATCACAATTGTACACATTACACTATTACAATTGTACACATTACACTATCACAATTGTACACATTACACTATCACAACTGTACACATTTACACTATCACAACTGTACACATTTACACTATCACAACTGTGCACATTACACTATCACAACTGTACACATTTACACTATCACAACTGTACACATTTACACTATCACAACTGTACACATTTACACTATCACAACTGTACACATTACACTATCACAACTGTACACATTTACACTATCACAACTGTACACATTTACACTATCACAACTGTACACATTTACACTATTACTATCTGTATCACTAAACTTTTTATTTAATAATAGTGCTACTTAGTACGATTATTAAATATAAAAATTGATATTAAGTTATACAAATTGGATGGTGATGGTGTATGGAGGGGGAGAGAGATGGTAGTGGTATGGTGAGGTAAGGAGTAGACTTGACTATTTGAATTTAAATCAGAATTTACAAAATAAATTTATATTTTCATATTCTGTTTTAGAATGTCAAGACTTTTCACCTCATGTTTTAAGTTTTTGACATTGTTAAGTCAACTTTGTTTTCTCTAATTAATAACAAATAAATAAGTTGATATGTCTCATATAAAATATATTTTAATAAATCAAAGAAAAATTTTTTTAATGTCAGTAGGATCTTTAATCTTCCTTATGGTACTTTTAAAAACAACTCAGGTGTTTTATGTCCCTAATGAATATATATCGGTACCTCAGAAGACAAAGGTCGGTTGTCCAGTTTTTTGTGAAAATGAGTAATGTATGAGACCTTTTTAATTTTTTCAGTATCTACACAGAGGTATAAAGACTATTGTCCTACAACAATGTGAAACAAAGTTAGTTACATAAATTTAACCATCAAGAAGCCAATAAAGACTAAGTATTTTACTATTTCTTCTCTCCTGAAAAATTTCTAAAATGTGACAACCGATCATTGACTACTTAGGTACAGATATGTAGTATATATACAATTACTGCAAGGAGGTAACTTCTGGAATAGAGGCCTGAATATAGAATATATTTCATAGCTCTGATATACACAGTGTAGTACAGATAATTATATTGCACAATTTATTTAGTATTATTTATCTAAAAAAAGTGTTACCTAAAAAATTATTATTATGTTTAGTAACACTTCGGTTCTAAACTATTTCTAGACTAATAAAACAATCGCCTTTAAAATCATTGCACTGTAAAAAATACAATTGTTGATAAGGCAACTGTACAATTTTTGATAAAAAGTCGTTTGATTACTTAGAACAAACATTTTGAAATTTTAAAATGAAAATAAATTGTTAAAATGATTTTTATTTAACTATGCTGGATTGACTAAGGCAGGTATTCTCAATTAGTAATTTAAATAACTTTTTTTGGAAACTCGTAAATAATCAAGTGAGAATAACTAAGTTGGAAAACAACCAGACCAGGTCACAACTAACAATGATGATGATAATTTATAAAAACTGTCACCTCCTAAAGAAAATTGTTTATCTGCTAAATTCAAGAAAATTTATTTTTTTATAATTATTTTGGTTTTAATTTTTTTCCTGCTATAAAAACAAACTATCTTTTATTACTTAGTTGTTATGATTTTTAAAAAGCTATTTTACTCATATATACCTTTTTTACTCTTTTTTTTTTTTCACTTATTTGCTATGATTTTAAAGAAACTATTTCATACTTTTTACTTCATTTTTTTTTTAATTAAAATGAATTTTTTATAAGCAGTTAAAGAATTGCAACCAGAAATTAAAAAAAAAAGAAATTATCAGAAAAACAGTTTGCTAATTTAGAATTCTAAATACAATAAAATACTTAGTTTTTTTCAATTTTAATTATCTATTTAATTTCTAAAAAGCTTTGCTTTGGAGGAGCTTTGTAACAGTTTTGTAAAATGTTATTTTTTAAATTACCAGAATCTTCTACAGCTTAACAATTATTTAAAGAGATTATCATAAACAATTTGTTTTATTAAAGAGAGATAGAAATACCATCAGTTTGTCAAAAAACTCAAATTGATTTGTCCTCTATCATTAGCAGTGTGGCCAGCCACTTTATCATTAGCAGTGTGGCCAACCACTTTGTACAAAATTCCCTGACTTTTCCCTGACTTTTTATATTTTTCCCTGACTCAATTATATTTTAAAGTGTGAGTTTTTATGTTTTGTTGTTTGGCAGTAAGTAAATAAAAACCTTTAAAAAAAATTAAATTTTGAAAAAGAAATTTTTCCCCTGACTTTTGTAAAAAAAATTAAAAAACCCTGACTTTTCCCTGTTTTCCCTGATTAGAAAAAAATCCCCTGACTTTTCCCTGATTTCCAATTGGCTGGCCACCCTGATTAGGAACATGTGTTGAACTTGTTTCATAAAAGTAAAAGAAAAATGCTTATAAAACTATATGATTGTTTCTTATATTTTTCAAACAACTTTGAAATTCAAATCCACAGCAACAAAATCATTGCTGTTGGTGTGAAATTCTAAGAAGTCAGAATTGTTTGATCTTACTGTTAAAGTAATTTTTATTTAAATTAATTATTATTTAAATAAATTTTGCTGTTGTTGGAGTTTTTATTAATTTAAGTAGTTTTTTTTATTTCAATTTTTCATTTTATTTAAAATTTAAAATTATTATTAGTGTAGTTGAAATTTAGTAAATTCTACGCTTACTATTAAAATATATGATTCACGGTTCGTTAGTTCTTTCAGTATCAGAAGTAAATCAAGAGATTTTAAGATGTTACTAACCTGTCACTATTTAAAAAAATGTAATTAACCATCGCTATCAAAAAATGTAATTAACCTGCCGCTATTTCACCTATAAAACTCACTTGACACTTTAAAACATACCTATAAAACTTTATATTTTGCTATAAAACTCACTTGCTAATTGGAGTGATAAATTTACTTTATTGTTTTTTGACCAGGAACAAATTATTTAAAGGATTGATTGTATAAATATTTTAAAACAGAAAAACTCTATTAGGTCTTTGAAAAACTAAATAAAGGTTGTAGACTAAGTGCTGCATTCAGACACTAGATCTTTTCAAGGATGTGGTCACATCATGTTTTAGAAAGCTTTAGTCATCTCAAAGTGACTTAGACAAATAAGACTATTTAAAAAGGAACTATTCAAATTACCTTTTTATTATTGATTCAGCAAGAAAAACTTCAAAAGCAAAATACTTACACCAATAAACTTGAAAAAAAAGGTTTTATGAAAATGTAAACTTGTTAGCAATTTTTATGTGAAACACTTATATTTTGAAAAAAGTAAAGCCAATGTACTTATTTGGTCTACTTCTTTCTTTTTTACATAAATTACAAAAAAATGTACTCAAAAGCCCCTTAAATCACAAAAAGTATGTGTTCAAACCCTCTAAAACATCAAAACAAAATGTTAGGACATTATTGATTTCAAACCCAAAAAGTTCTTTAGATTTTAATTCAGGATTTGAGGATTGCTTGTTTTAGACTCCTTTCTAATTTATACCCTCAAAAAGTTTTTAGAGTAAGTTTTGTTGACATTAGGTCCTACATTGGTAAGCTGTGAAAAAAATGAATTTATAAACAAAATTGATTATAGTTCTACAGGGAAAATATCCACAAACAAAGTCATAAATAAAATCAATTCAAATAAATAATATTTATATAAGAATTAAAAAAACATTAAGTATATATATGGTAGATAAAGTATGACACATGTATATTATAGATAAAATATAAAAGTTGAGAAAACATAAACAATTAGAAAGTACACAAAAAGGTACTCTAAACAGGAAATGTCAGATGTTTTTTAAGAATGTCATCTGATAAAGTATGGATTTTAAAACAACAATAGTTATGCTAGGCCCAACAACAACAAAAAAAAACCTTATATATAATATATGAGGATAATAATAATCCTTATACACTTACTGTAGATACTATATAATCCAATGAAAAAAGTTTTCAGTTATAAAAATGCGCTCAAACAATGAGAACTATGAGGACAATTAATAAATTAAGTAAATAAAACACCTCATTGTGAGCCTTAATTTCTCCTGCTTTAAGTTTTTTATAAATTTTTATCAATCATGTTAAGCTTTTGCATATCAAAAACTCATAAGAAGGTCTGTTCACTTTTTTTACCTAAGAAAAAGCCTTTAAACTAAAATCTTTTTATCTACATTTATTTAACTGGAAAAAAATCTTGATAACTTACACTGAATCATCTTCAAAAACATCTTAATTATAATTAATTATAATTACAAGAGTTGATTTTTAATTATAATTACAAGAGTTGATTTTTAATTATTATTACAAGAGTTGATTTAACATGAGTAATCATTAAAAACATAATTGATGGAATTGGAATATATTGAATAAAAAGTTATTGTGATATATACTAATTCTGTCAGAAATGCTACTTTTTATTAGATACCGCATGTTAGGCACCAGATTCTTACCTTCCTTATCTGCATTAGGTTCAGATTCCTTATCTACATTTATCTAATTTTTATTCTACCATTCATTTTTTATAAGTATTATTAGAATTTTCACCTCAATTCTAGTAACTAAGCAAACGCAATATTTTATTACATTTTATTTTTGTCTACTCTTCACTTCATTTTTAGTCTTACACTTCATTGTTTACAAATTTATTTATAAGCATTATTAATTTACCAAACATAAAAAAAGATTCAAAGAAAAACTTATTTCTAATTCTAGAATCTCAAAATCTTTTACCTTGCGTAATAACGGGTCCTGATACAAAAGAACTGTTTTTCATTAAGAGACACAAATTTTGATCAAAGTTTCCTTTCATAACATTAAACTTATACAAACCAGCTACATTACCAGGTTTCTTGTACCTAGCTACAATGTAAGTGCATGTTTCACTATGTATTTTTGTAGTAAACTTGCCCATGCCAAGAAGAGTACTTGATTTCCAAACAACTTGAGTAAAATGTAAAACAGAACTAGAAGGGGTATTATCATTAAATGAATACCCTGGAGTACAAACTTCTGAATACCTGAAATACATAATAATAACTATAAAATCTTTTGTTTAAACTAAAATAATTTATATACATAAAAATCACCATTATATACACCAAATAATCAGACCACTAATAATTATTACAGATAACTATAAATGTAAAATATGTTTGCTGGCAACACACTAAACAGTCACCTGTTGTGCTGATGTTTAAGTAGTTATCAACCAATAGGAAAATATCTTTTATGTTTTGTATACATCATGTATGATTCAATCATTACTATCTTAAAGCATGATTACAACTTGCTAAACATATACAAGTACAATTTTAATGGAAGTCAAACAACTGATTGCTGCATGTTTGAAGTTGTCTAAGAGCTCATTATATCATTTAGCAAATCAAGTAAACAGGTGACATCAATCCAGAAAAATCCTGTGGAAGACTTAAAACTATCACTCCAGACAAAAACTAACAAAAAGATACACTGTTTGGTTATGAAGGATTTAAGCTTAAAAATAATTACTTCACTGCCTCCTAGTGTTAATGTTATCAACACAGTTCAAAGATTCTTTCCCAAATACTTTATTCAAAATTACTGAATGTAGTTCGACAGAAGACTCAATATTTCCTTGATTGGAGTATGAGTTGCCGCCAAGCTACATAGCTTGAGTATGAAATCTTGTCACAGTTAAACTGTCCACTTCATTTATTTTTTTCAACAAATAATTTATGATTACCTCAAATTTTGAAAAAAATAAATAAATTGGACAGTTTAACTGTGACAAAATTTTATGCTCTCAAAAAAAGCTCAAGCTACGTAGTTTGGCAGCAACTTACATTTCAATTAAGAAAACGTCGAGCCTTCTGTCCAAATACATCCAGTAATTTTGATTTAAAGTGCAATCACTGCCAACAGTCATGCTGGCTTTTACAACAAGATGAGACTTTCAGTTCTGCAAATTATTTAAAAATTTCAAAGAACAATTTGTCTAATTAGTTTTGAATTACAAAATTTTATATTATGATGCACAACCAGGCAAAACTTGCTATTAGGCAAAAATTGTCAAAATGTAGTGGTAAGAAAATACAATTAATTTTATGCCCAATGACATTTGCCTAAATAAAACACCATTTAAAAGTAGAAGTTTGTAAACAGAACCCAACATCAATAGCAGATCTGAGAAAGATTATAATGAAAGTGTAGGGGCTTAAAAAAATGTCTAAATAGTATGAGTCTTCATTTTGTACATGCTGCAATGAAATGCTTTCTAGTAATAAATTTGTTCACTATACAATATAAAATAGATTTTTGCTATAAATATGGGGTGGTTAGATCTTTGCATTAATTATATGGTGGTTAGAATTGTACATGAGCAAACTAAGCTATAGAAAGTTGCTTTTTTAAAAATAAATAGAGTTATTTGAAAGCAAACAAATTTATATGTATTTACCATTTTGTCACTGCTTCTGCAGCTTCATCAATAATTTGAGATGGTGATAATGTACAAAATACTGCTAAGTTTTCTCCACATCCATCTCTTTCTAGTGGTGAAGCTAAAACAAGAGAATTCTTTCCAAGTTTAGAAAGTTTCTCTGCATATTCTTCTGCTTTTTTTGTCATTTCCAGGTCAAGTTCTAAGTCAGGCACTCCGTGTGCTCTACGTAATTTATTATGGGCTTCCAGCCCTGAACGAGAAAACAAAGAAAAGTTGGAAAATTCATGGAAGTCTGACTTTTGTGAGGCAATGCAAGTTTTTAATTCAGTAAGTTTCAAATTAACATCTTGTACTACTCGCTTTGCAATAACAACTGCTTCATTTTCAGCAACACTCAGGCCAATTGATCTTGCTTTCCTTTTTTCTTTTAATTTGTCAAAACCTCTAAATCCAAGTGATCGAATAACTTCATCTGCAGCTGAAATGGCTCCTTTCTCTGCACCAATCTGTGCACCTTCTAAAGCAGATTTCCAAATCATATCATTTTCAACTGATGAATTGCCTGCATTCCGCTTTGCACATAAATAATAATTTTGACTTTCTATAACTTTTGAATCCTCGTCAAGATGTATTTTCCACATTTGCCCTTGCGTATCTGCATTGATATTTTCAATTTTTTTTGTAGCTAATATGTTTTTCTGCTGAATTGAATTAACTGCAGCTTCAGCTCCTGCTTTTGCACCTATTAAGGCTCCAATCTTAGCAGCACTTTCGACAGATGCACTGTTAGCAGACACACTACTTGTGTTCATCGAAACAGTATTAGGCAGACTGTTCACAAGCTTCTTTTCATTTCCTTTGATTAGATTTGTTTGGTTGATTAAATTTTTGATTAGATTTGATTGGTTGATTAAATTTTCTTGCTTTTGTTCATCTTTTTCTAAAGCTATGGTTTTTGAATTTTTTAGACCATTGTCAACATTCCAAAAGGTTTCTTGACCTTGATTATGGGTAGCTTTGGATGACATAAATCCACTGGTTCCAGTATTTTTTACTATAAAGCTGAAAGATGACTTCAACTTTTTCTTTACTTCTTGTTCAATGAAATTCGCAGCAGCCATTGCACCTGAATAAATAGACAAAATATACAACTAACAATAAAGCATAACAAAATAAAAACAAATAAATAATAAATTGAAATAATTAAAAGTAAAAAAACAAAACAAAGAAAATTTAGTAAAATGTTTTTTATTTTAGTTTAACACCATAAAAAATAATTGTTTTTTTAAATATTCCTAAAAACAAAAACTTCCAAGTCTATAATGTTCTGGTTTGTCTTGATTATAAAACTAAACTGATCCTATTCAAAAGTATTTATGGTAAGGTGAAGTTCTTTAACTGCAATGAAGCAACTCTACTAGAAAATTCAAAACTCTGCTCCTTATCTTTGAATGATAATCTTCCTTGTGTTGGTGCCATAATAAAATTACTTGTCCTGAACTCCAAAAAATGCAGTAAAAAGTTTTATAATCACATAATATGGTTCAGAAGTTTTTAAAAGTCTTACTTATCCTGTCTTACTTATCCTGCCTTACTTAAAAAAAAGTAAATAGCATTGTATTACTCTTAGGTATGTCACTTAAATTTTCTTCAAAAATAATTATTATATTTTAATACAATAACTTAATCTGTGTTAACTGTCTATGCAACTTGAATCTAGTTATAAAAAACTGTAGGGGTTAAGGATATGATGAAACCAGTTCTGTCCATGGGTATATAAATGGTCTTTCTGCCCAGGTTCTCATTATAAATTCAACGGCTCTGTGTACACATTGTCATACCCATCGACTGAACATTGTTCAGTTGATGATTCACTGAAATTGCTCTTTGTATTGATAATGCTATTAACAGATTTTCTATAAAAAATTGACAACTTGATTTTAATGATTAGTTATCATGTTATTCTAACACACATCAACTATTAAAAAAATCTTGTCAATTATCACTCCTCTTCCTATAACAGCTAAAAAATAGGTATGGAAACTCCTTGGAAGGCCAAGACATCAATAGTGTCCTTAACAGGCCGGGTTATATGTAACCCCACACTTTTTTTTGGATTAGCTAAATGATTAGTGATCATAGTTCAGGCAAACAATGACCTTCTCGTTCTGATATTGACAATTTCTTTCTATCATTTTCTACTTAAGCCAAGAAATATAAAAAGTAAAAATTATTTTAAATAAATTTTCTCTCAATCAATCTAATAATTTTCTAAAGTTTTTCTGCTATTTAAACCAGTTTTTTACTGTAATTGTTTTCAAAAACTTTTCTTTTCATTTGATCCAAAATAATCTTCTTGTTTTTGAGACTTAACTTTTTTTTAAATATTAATTTTTTTAAATATTGTAATTTAAAAAAAAAACAATGTATACAAATCTATTTCTATTTGTGTCTTTCTCTTTTCTGTTTTTAATTTTTCTTTTTCCAATGTGTGTGAAACAATCATTTGTTGGTTTATTTATATATTATTGTAATATGTTATACAAAAATTGTAGAAAAAAATCTACTGCTCAATATTCTTCTAATAAGAAATACTTTTTGTTAAAAAAAATTTATTAAGTAAAACCCTTTAAATCCTCCAGCCCAATGACAGGAAGATTTAAAGGGATACATAGGGGGAAGCTTTTGGAGTGATAGCCCCCAACTGCCATAGACATTTTTTGTTTTTTTTCTGAGATATTGAGCACATTTAAAAATGTAAGTAAATTTGAAAGGCTGTTTCAAAGTGGCATGAAATTCAGATAAAATTGTGTAGTGCAAACATCTTCTTTGCACTTTTATGCTTAAAAAATTATTAAACCTGTAAATTGATGGTCTGGATCAAACGAATCAAAAAATTGCCCCCTTCCACCTTTACTTCATGAACTGAATCTGCCCTTGCTCCAACCCTCCTCTTTTTTTTATTATTTACTTCCCAAGAAGGTGTAGTTGTGTCACTTACAACATGGCATATGGCACGTTTTTTTGATGGGGTAAATTAAAAACCTGTGTCTGCCCCTGGAGGTCATTAATGAATAATAATCATTAAAAAATTAGAAAAGATTGAAGTCAGAGTGTGAGTTTTACAATTCATTCATTTTTGTCATTCATCAATATAATTCATTCATTTTTGTCATTCATCAATATAATTCATTCATTTTTGTCATTCATCAATATAAGAATATCAACAATATTGCAATAAATATTAACAACAAAATTTTATTTTGAGCATCTGAATTTTATTTTATGATCTGTTTTAAACAAAATAAAGTGATGACTTTTTAATAAGAGTTATGCTATTCATTCAGTAAAAGTTTTGTCATTCATTTAGTAAGAGTTTTGATTTCATTTAGTAAGAGTATTCATCAATTTAGAAAAATAGAAATATATATCTTAATATAGAAATATTAAGAATATTCCAATAAATGAGCAACTGAATTTAATTTTGGTCAAAATTTATCAGACACTGCAAGCCCAAAGCTACCACAAAAGAGAAATCAGGTTCTTGATCGGTTTTAAGCAAATTGATGACTTTTATGTCAAGTCTGAAGTATATATATGTGTTGTAAAATAGAAACACTTTGAAGATATGAATATCATGAAGATAATTAATATAGACATTAAACAACACAGGGCCAAGGACAAACTTGGTTTTACCCCAGTAACTACTTGAAATGAAGAAGAGTGCCATCAAGGTTTGCATTTTAATAGGGTTGGGGGGAGTGGGGGTGTTGTGAATCAAAATAAAATAAAAAAATGACTGTAAGAGAGTTATTAGGTCAAAATAAAATTTTAAAAGTTTTTGCTAACGATAATAATAATAAAAATAATAATAATAATAATAATATAATAACAGTAATAATAGTAATAATAATAATTTGAGCTCAGTTGGTTAGAGTACTGCTAAAAGTTCAAAACAGGATTGCAGGTTCAAATCCTGATTCTGTCTACTTAGAATATGATAATATAGTAATAATAATATTAATAACAGTAATAATAATAATAGTAGCATAATAGTAATTAATAATAGTAATAAGATTAATTGGACAATCATTAGAGGAGGCAGAGCATCCTTTAGAGTTTTTAAATATTGAATCACAGATGTCATTTTCTAGTATGCAGGAAAACAAGACTTGGTAACTAGTTTAGAGAGTAACCAAGAGTGGAAAACACTCTAGGTTATGGAGAATACTCTTGGTTATGGAGATACTCTTGGTTATGGAGAATACTATTGGCTATGGAGAACACTCATGATTATGGAAAAGACTTTTGGTTATGGAGAACACTCTCGGTTATGGAGAACACTCTCGGTTGCAATCTTGTAAAACTTTGATAGCATTGTTGATTTATTAACTTTAATAATGACTGCTTTGTCTTTAATAATTTCTTAAAAGTGCTTAGAACCTAATTTGTACTTTCTTAAAGCAAACCTGTAACATAGCAGCATAGTTAAGGATTGTTCCAAGAAAATAACTTCAAAAAGACCTAAAAGTCTTGTCACAAAGCACTCTGAAAGAGCATTTAACTAGGAAATTTATACCTGCTTTACTGATGTTTCAAAATTATATTTATAAGTTCTATGCCAGAGCTGGCATAAAACATTGGATGTATGGCAGCTCTGGCATAGAACCAAGGTTCTATACCAGAAATTTCAGAATCAAAGGTTATAAACCTTTTGATTCTGAAGCACATGCTTTAAATATTGTTGTTGGTTGCTTAAAAAATGCTATTAAAAATGCAACCTCTAAAGTACAAACAAATTTTCTTTGTATATTAGAGCTTTATATTTTTAAAATAGTATAGCAGAAGAACTCTTTTTTTTATCATAGAAACTATCAATGTAAAACATTCAAATTGAACTTTTAAAATCATTATTTAATCCATAATGGCACACTAAAGAAACAAAAATTCATTAACAAATTTAAAAATTTGATTTTTGGGAGATCAGTATACAAAAGTAGCTAAGTGACATGATGTCATTAACATGGCATGATGTCACAACAAGATAATTATTGATAAGATAATTAACATGGCATGATGTCACAACAAGATAAGTATATATGACAAACTTTTCAATTTTTAAAAATCCACTAATATGATAAATTTTTAAAGCAATTATGAAACCCTAAAAAGTACTTTAGCTAAAACTTAAAATTTTTGAAACTTTATTCATTAGGATCAACATTGTATCAAATAAATCTAGTTTTATTTACTAATTTATTAAATTAAGTGATATTATAAAAACATCAGAAAAAGACTAATATTAAAAAAACATCAGGGCATCAAAATTAGCACACTCAAAACGTTGAATGTTTTGAAATTGAATAATGATGTATTTTTTTAGCTTACTTTAGCTTACATTATATAATACAAAAGACCAATTATACAACAAAAAGAATCAATACTAACTAAAAAATAAGCATTGAATTAGATTTGAACTACATTCAAGTCTTGAATGTTTATAAGTACAACCTTTACAAATTTAGCAAAATTTTTAATTTAAGACATTCTTTGAAAGATTTCATTTGATGCTCTTTTATAATAACTTGAAGAAACCTTTTTAGTTATTATTATAAATAAAAAAAAAATTCATTTACCAAAGAATTGGATTTGACATTTTCATAAGAATGATATTTTTTGTCTTTTGGAAGTGATCATCTGATTGGTTGTTTGTTTTTTGAAAGTCATCATCTGATTGGTTGTTTCTTTTTTGAAAGTCATCATCTGATTGGTATCAGATGATTACTTTCAAAAAAACAAAAAATCATTAGTTTGATTTTTTGTTTTCTTGCTAAATGATCATTTTTAGCGTTAATTCTTTAGTGAGTTCAAGCCTCAAACATCGTGCACAACTTTTAACACTTTTATGTAAATTTCTTAAAACCTTTTCTTGATTTTGACAGCTTTCATTTAACTATAATTTGATGATACTGGGTATTTTTTAAATATAAATATTTAATAAAATTTCTCGTATACAGAAACTAAAAAAATACATTGTCACTTCTACAACTTCTAGTCTTCATCTAGATTATACGCAACAAATCAACCTTGACAAAACATAATTGAATTAAATGCTCATACCCAAGC